CAAACTTCTTAAGATGGAAAAATCTTTTCTATATCCAATAACTATCATACAGATTTCATGTTATGTTTCTTCAAATTACCGTACATGTGCTCTGTAATTTGGTCCACTTGCCATATAAAGTTTCTAGAAAATCTGATTCTGTTTCTGGAGATATAGGCAAACATTTAAATTTTCAGTTGGCATTAATTACTATTATAGTTTTGCTTCCTTAAAAAAAAAAAGGTCAGCTACTTTTGAAAAGAAAATACACCATCATAAAGCAACGTAACTTTAATTTGGAAAACTTAACTTTTCACACTAATGTGTTTCAAATTTAAAATGATCTAAGAAAAAAAAAAGGAAACGTGATTCAAATTCAGCTTTTAAGCAAAAATGACAATGTCGTCATGAGTTAATATTAATCCTTTAATTAAGAATTTCAAAGATTTAAATACTTTCTCTGACCTTGGCTTTAAATAATTATGCTAAGTGTGGATTTCTTTAAATTCAGAAAAGATTCTGAACTGTTGATCATAGTTATGTAATAGTTTCAAGCTGGCAGATTTCCAACATAAGCTGTTTAAAATTAGAGACGAAGAATATGATACCCATAAATGAAATGTCAGTTTTCCAAATGCTGTTCCAATTCTATATGCTAATTGTTCCATTTGGTTGCTGTATTTCATCTTGCAATAAATTAAAGATGGTACTTTAATATATGCTAAAGCATTTAAACACCTGGATGTCAACTAATGTAGATAAGTATTTTGAGAAGTTCCTTTGTAGTCTAACATCAAGTATTTAAACACCATCAAAAAGGAATTTTGCCAAAGCAACGGCAAAACAAGTCAAACTGAAGCCCTAAATGTAAAGTAAAATGAAGGTTTATTTTATCAGGAGCAGTATTTTTGCTTCATTTATATGCTATACCATTTCAGAGGATGAAAACTAGTAATATGGTTTAATACTCTACGCTGGTATCAAACGCTTCCTGGAAATCTCATATTTAAAGGACAAAATATTCAAGTTCCTGATTAAAAAAAAATGTTAGTGTAAGATAAGGATAACCTTTATTGTCAACTTTTACTGTGGGCACACTGGCACACATTAAAAGTGAAATTCTGTTGCCTGCTTTCAAAAGTGTACACATATATAACACACATATAGACATGTTATATACATATATATGTATATACCTACACCCTTATTAATCACTTTCCATCTTGAATACATAGCAGAAAGAGGAAGCTTGAGAGTTCTCAAGGTTGATACTGTATGGAACAAAACTGTGACTGAATCTAAATGTTCTGCTTTAGACATCAAGAAGTTTCCTCTTAGAAGGTAACAAGGAAAACAGGTCATGAAGACAATACTGTGGACTCTGCTCAAGCAACGCTAATATGCTAAGTCCTGGATGGAAGGGAGGGAACTGCCAATAATCTCTTCTGCCATCCTCATCACTCTCTGCACCGCCTTCCTGTCTGAAGCAGTGATACTTCCAAACCAGACTGTGTTGCAATATGACAGGATGCTCTTGATCGTCCCTCTATAGTAAGTGGTAAGGACAGGGGAAGAAAGATGTACTTTTCTCATGTGAAGCAGAAAATGCAGGCGCTCCTGCGCCTGCTTCACCAATGTCTTGTTAACTGCACACCCAGAAATTTGATGCTGCTAACCATCTCCAGAGGAATCATGAATACATAGAGAAGCGTGGCTGTGCCTGCATTTTTTGAAATGGACAATGATCTCTTTAGTTTTTCCAACATTTAAAACTAGGCTGGTTTTCTTACACCAGTTCACCAAACCCTCTACCTCCTTGCGGTAAGCACCCTCATTGTCATCTTGAATAAGGCCCACTACTGTTGTATCATCCGCATATTTCACAATATGGTTGGTGGCAAACCTTGCTTAACAGTCATGGATCAACAGGGTGAACAATAGCGGACTTAGGACGCAGCCCTGTGGAGAACCTGTGCTCAAGTAAATGGTGTTAGAAATATTAGTCCTAACTCGCACATACTGGGGCCTGTCAATAAAAAAATCAAGAATCCAGTTGCACAATGGAGTACTAAAGCCTAAAAAGCCCAGTTTGTCTACTAGATGCTAAGGAATGATTGTATTAAATGCCGAACTGAAGTCAACGAACAGCATTTGCACATGAGTATTTCTTTCCTCTAAGTGCTCCAGCTCAGATGGAGAACAGAAGAAATAGCATCCTCTATAGAGCGATTTGGATGGTAAGCAAACTGAAATGAGTCAAATGCTGGAGGGAGGCTAATTATTATACCAAACAAAGAAAAATAAAGATAATAAAAAAGAGATAAACAAGAAAGTATTTCCCCTCTGAGGTATGTCAACACTGTTCTGAGACATGTCAAGACTGAACTTCAATATTCAAGTTCCTATACAAGAACACAACTTCATAATATCTGATTCTGGGCCACACTCTCAGATTTTTCATTTGAACCAAAACATGCAAATTCAATTTATTGCAATCATGACAAGAAAAAATGCTGGGCAGAAGTGAAGTAAAAGTCAGACTAAATAGGAATGCACTTTATGTCAGGCCCCAAAGTAATGTATCCTCAGTTGTTTTAGTTTTGTAGCTTTCTTTGTTGCCTGCCATTCTGTTGGGAGGGGGGAGCCTTTGGGGATGCTTTGCACTGTCTGCTTTGTTGCCTTGTTGCCCTTCCCCCCCCCCCATGGAATGTCTCACCCTTATCTGAGAGATGGTTTGTGCTTGGAGCCAGAAGAAATTGAAAGTGAGAGAGACCTTGAAGAGCCTGCTGAATAAAACGGTTACCAAAACACGATGGCACCTATAGATTGGTTGGGATTCAAATGAACACCGGGACACTGGGGGGAGGAGTATTGAATGCTACTTTTAATATATCGCTTCGTGGGTTTTTCTCTCAGATCTCGCCTTGATTCCCTGCTGTCACTAGCCCCTAATAAAAGTTTCCTTTTGAGACAAGGCTTGTTTCAAGAGTTCTGCTTTCTTGGGTGGCTTAGCTGAGGTAGGTCCTTACACTTTATTGATAGTGTCTCTGGTACCCTGTTAATAATAAGTGAATACATTGTTAATAAGTCCTTGTCCTTATTTATTTATTAAATTTATTTATTAAATTTATATCCTCCCTCTCTCCCCAAAACGACTCTGAGCAGCTTAAAATATAGTAAAAATAGAGATATAAAAACAATGAAAACATAAAAACAGATTAAAATAGCAAGATTACATACAGACTAAAAACAATGGGGTCAGAATGGAGCAGAGGTAGTGCATTCTCTATCACTGCACCAATCACCTACAACCTACAATTTCTCCAACTCCTATCAGGGATTCAAAACAAATAAATCATATAACTTTCAGTTTACTCTTGCAAAACAGGAAGAATTTTTTTAACTGCTCTTAATCTTTACTCCAGTGCAGGAGTGTCTAGACCTTTAAATAACTTGGAAAGGCAAAGTCAGAATTAACTACATGAGAAAACCTGCAGAGTGCATCCACAAACCAATATCACAAATTCTTATAGACTATCACATACTTCCCTCTTTATTACACTGTTAGCAGATCTGCCTACACTTAATACATCAATTACACTTTGATAATAGGGAAGGGAAGAACTAAGTTTTATGGATATAACATAAAAGGAAATACAAAGGGAAAAAACCAGGAATAATTGATAAATGCATTACTTACAAACCCTTTAACAAGTAGGACATTTTAAATAAATTTGATTCCAGTTCAGATGGTGGGAAAGCCCAGGCCCTAACTGTATATTCATAGTTATAAATTGATTTGGCCCGAGTTCCTAATCTTAGTTTTTCAATTGCATGCTGGGAAACTGCACTCCATAAAAATGTTTTTATGTGTTTGATAAGTGTCCCTTCTGTCACATTACAAATTACATCGCTATGTCAACCTTTAGAAGGGCATTTGGTTCTGTATTTAAGGCTTTGGAGGAGACAGTTTGTATTCAGTTCTGGGGCCAGAGGTTAGACACCATTGGGGTATATCTCAATTTCCAATAAACTACGCTCTTTAAATTTTGGAATTGTGGTCTGAGTTAACTGGGCCCAAATGACTTCTTTGAGAATGGTTCCCATTATTTATTTGTTTGATTACATAGAATTAAAGAATTCCTTCTGGGTACTTTACATAAGAAAAAGCCAGAACAATAAAACAGAGACACAGATGATATACATCCAGAAAGCAACCTACAGAGTAGAATAAAATCACCAACCATGTTGTCCTTGAGGCCTAAGAGAACAGCCAAGTTTTCTGTGTCCTTGGGAACATCCTCATGATGGGAGCCATATGGATCTCTGGGGAAGATTGCTCCAGAGACCAGATGCAACAACAAGGGAGGCATGCCTCCAAAGTTCCAACAGATGACATTATTTGAGGGGATATAAACTGCCTCCATGCTACCAGATCTTATCAGAGAGGTAGAAACAACTGGAGATACAAGGTCCCACAAATAACCAGTCTCTATGCCATGTTTAAATAATCAGGCCCTATATATCCAGAAGCCAACTGGCAACTAGCGCAACTCATACAATAGTGGTATCACATAGGCATTCTGTGGCATTAATGCCCATGCTGCCACATTCTGGAGTTGAGATATTTTTGCTTCAGTTTGAGGAGGTGGAATGAAGTGCCTTATTGAATCGCCTCTCTTTGCTTCAATGACAATCAAAACTGGGGCATTTCAAACAAGTATTTTTCTTCAGCAACAGCAACATATGCGCAGATGCCCCAGTTACCCAGAGAAGTGATGTAACATGGCTACTCTGTTGTTTTGAAGCAGATTAGCTCTTTGTGTTATAGTTTGGATTTGCTAGAGGCTTCAATAAAGAACCGCTCCAACATCTATAGTGCTGGTTTATGAGCATTGTGCAAACTGAAGATAGTAACATACTATTCACACTTCTCGAACTTACTCCAACACTGATTTAGTTTCACATTAATTGTAATATCCCTGAATTGCAATATCTTAATCAGATATTTTTAGTCTTACCTTTTCCAGCGTCATTTCCTTTTCTGCAGCATTAGTCTTCCTCAGGTCCAGAATCATTTTTTCTGACTCATTTTTCTGTTTGTTCATGGCAGTCTCATGATCTCTAGAAGCTCTTTGTTTTTCTTCTTCCCGAAGAAGACTAAGTTCTACCAATTGCTGTTTTCTTTGAGTATTCACCTGAATCAGCTCTTCCCTCAGAGTATGGATCTGGGCTTCCATGTCACAGATGATCTTTAAAATAACAATACCACCAATCAACAAGAATAAATACTTTGGCTTAATTTTTATACAAACCCCCCCCCCCAAAGTCTGCATCGGTTAGAACAGAAGTTTGTCCTATCAAAAGTAGAAAAATGCTTTCTCAAATTATTGACATTTTATAGTGAGCCTTATAAGTAAGCCTCCGGTGAGAATACATGGTGAAGTAGACATCAGACGGTGAATTCTGGCCAGCGCAGCCTCTCTGGAAAAAGGAGAGATTGTGAGATTGCCCACTTTTAACCAGGACAGTTTTTTGTGGTTGGCTCATGAGTTGAGCAGCTGGAAGTTGAGGGATTTCAATCAAGCTCAAAGTCATAATGCAACCTACATAGACAAAAAGTTCAAAGAAACTTCATTTCTTAAACACTTTCAGTTGTCACTAGTTTAGATAGAGATTTTCTCAATGTAACATGAACCAGACTGTAATGCTGTCTGTAACTATGGAGATACTGACTGGGATATTAACTAACAACGGAGTGCCATTTGAGACAAAAATATTAAGGGCACAGGAAGACAAAGTAGACAAAGTAGATGACCTTATTTTGTTAAGGACCTGGATGTACTCATCTCTAATGATTTACGTTGTAAAGTTCACTGTTAACAGCATTGCTAAAAAAGCACTAAAAGTTGTGAATTTAATTCTATGAAGTTTCCCCCCCCCCCTGTAAATATTATATTGCTCATTAGAGCTTACAAAACATACACTAGGCTAATCCTAGAATACTATTCAGCTGTCTGGAATCCTTACCGCATATTGGACATTAATACAATCGAGCGAGTTCAGAAGTATTTTACACGAAAGGTCTTACAGTCTTCTGTCCATAATAGAATACCTAATGCTACTAGGCTTGAAATGCTTGATAGTTTAGAACTGTGATGCTTGCGGTCAGACTTAGGTACTGCATACAAAATTGTACATAGTAATGCTATACTTGTAAATTACTTTTTTAGCATTCATTGTAATGTAATGGAAGCAAACAACCACTTTAAACTTAATGTAAACTACTCTAAACTCAATTATAAAAAAATGATCTTTGTAACAGAATTCTCAAAGTCTGGAATATCTTACCTGATTCAATTGTCTTAGCCATTAAACTTCACAATTTTAATTCTAACTTAACTTCTGTGGACCTCACTCCATATTTATGAGGTCCCAAAGGATGTATGTGTAAGTGCACTGGTGTTGCCTAATGTCCCTGTCACATTTTGATTTTCTTATTTTCTTTGTTTGAATTTGTAATTTTTGTTTGACAAATAAATAAATAAATAAATAAATAAATAAATAAATAAAAATAAAATAAAATAAAATAAAAGGGAAGCTTGCCTTTTCTCTTTCTCTTGTTTGATACACTTTCATTTTTGAGTTATAATATAATGACAACCACCAGAAAAGCAGCAAAAGTAGTAGAAGGGAGGAGAGGATTGCTAGAGTAACGTGCGGAGAGAGAAATTATACCAGATTTGCTTCAGAACATGTTGAGCAATTGGCCAGTAAATTAGCTGTATCAATTGATATTGACAGCTTTTTAAAAAAAGAATGCTGAAAGACTTGTAAAGATGAAAGATGATAAGAACATGGAAAGCGCGGTAAAACAAGTGCCTGTAAGTTTCATATAAAACTAATGAATAGTGGAAACTTTCCAAAGTAAGACAAAGTTATAGACAGAGAATTGGAAAAAGAATTAGATCTGGCTCTATTGGAATTAAGAGTGAAAGAATTTTGTTTTGAGATTTAGAGCAATTTCAGAGGATTGTAGTGAAGATATTAGAGAAAACTTTAGCAATTTGGGGGAGGGGATGAGATGAGATAGAAATAGATAAACTATATAGAATAAATACAAGATTTGTGACAATAAGAAGTGTTCCAAGCAATGTTTAGATGCACTTTGTCAGACAGAAAAGAGATCAACTTTTGCAGTACCATTTAATACAAAACTGAAGACTGGGATTTATATTTGTGTAAAATAGGGAAGACATGAAATGATATATCCACACAAGCATTGAAACACACATGTATTATTAAGCAAATTAATAAATAATATTTTTTAATCTGGAAACAAATAATCCAAGTAGTAAGGGATGCTATACTCCCATACATTTGGGAATTAATATCAGCCATATCTATTGTATATTTCGAGATAAATATTTCCCTCTATACAGCATTTCCCGCTAGAATTGCTTTGACTGAATCCTATATTAATTTGTTTTCATTTAAATAAAAAATAAAACATGGCAGGCAGAAGATTCTTTAGTGTCTCAACAATTTCATAATGTTTTAAGAAAATGTTTTCAGAGTAAAATATGTATGATACAGAATAGAGATAAAAGAAAACTGTGGATTTAGCTTAATATACTTGTTGCTGTATCTTTTGAAATCACGAAATGTGAATCAGTTCCATCATATCTTTGAAGATGATTTTCAGAAGATGGAAGATATAAAATGTAATTATAAATATTTTAAAAAAAAATTAGATTACAAATACAATTGATAGATTGTGTTGAAACTTCCATTTATGTCTTTCAACTTTTGAAACCTATTTTTAGAAGTACCTACTATAAAAAGATTTTATGTTGCTGACCAATACTCTATTAATATAACATTTTGTGAGTTTAAAGAATCAAGATTGACAGATACAAATTATGTTAATATTCAGGTATCTGTTTAGCTAACTATTGTAAACCTCTTCAAAGTGCATCCTCAAGGTGTAAGATCACTGTTTTTATATGATACACTGCATTGTACTATATGCTACATATGGATATGAATCAGTGGAAATCCCTATATTTACATATATAAGAACACTTCCATTTTATTTCCCTTTTATTCCACTCTAACTACATACCAAAATTGGCAAAGTATTGGATTTAGACATTAAGAATGAATGCTTAAAACAGATTCATAATTAGTTCTAGAGCTCTACATTATATTTTATTTTTTCCCCCTTCAAAGCTTAAATATGTTCAACCAATTTTGAAATTCTTGATAAATTAACAATTCTGCACTGATGATGTTACCTAGTTGGGGTAATGAAATGTCTGAAAGAAAACAGCCAAGCTCAGAGAGCACCAAGGATCCCTCATTTCAACTCTGAGCTACAAATATTCTCTTTTATCAAATTAACAATTCTTTAAGCAATTTTCTTTTGATATCAATCTCTGAATGCCTTTGCAATTTTAGGAGAGAAACACATCAGTTAGGGAAGGTTTTCCTGATTATAATTCTTAGTTAATGGAATAATTTCTGTAGTTAGTCATTTTGTTGCCAATAATAACTTTCAGGGTCAAACATTTCTTTATATAAATATTTTGATAATAGTTTGGGTTTTTTTAAAGGGCAGATTTTTTATTGTTCTATTTTTGTGACTCATGTTGTAAACAATTGTTTGATTAAAGATTTCATGTCAGTATTTTAAAATGTTATGTGTGCATGTATATGTATTTATGTGCGTGTGTATATCTCTATACAAATTTTCTTTAATTAAAAACAACTTCCCTCTTAGAGATTCAATCAAATCTGAACAATTTTAAGGCCTATTTATTTCAATGGGACAATGATGACTGATTAAGACCTAAATATTCTGCATGGTATTGATATTATGTTCAATTACGGTTTCATGAACTTAGCATTTGGTTTTCTACATTGTGTGTTTACAGAGCTAAGGAAATGTTTACAAAAACATTTTAGAGAGGAACGCTATGTGTTGAAAGGCCTCAGGCAGTATAAGCCTGTGAAGGAAACTCAAAGGACAAGAAGAATCAAAACAACAAAGATGCTATGCAAAACTTACTGAAGCCAACACTGAGTTTCTGGACAAATGCTGATTTGCAGAACTAGGCTGATTACCGTAAAGAACAAGTAGTTCAGTTCCAAGGATATGGTACAACTAGATTGTAAGCAACAAAGAAATTAATCTGTATGCAAATAGTGCAAACTTCATACCTGCAATAGAAAAGATCTTTTAGAAAGAGAGAAGCAAATCAGAAGCTTGTAAAACTCACTTATTCCAGAGAGCAATAAGTATCCAGATTGGACTACTGCAATGTACTGTAAATGGGGCTGATCTTGAAGTGTCAGCTGCTGTAGGATATGGTAGTGTTATCTATAGATCTTTTTCTCCGTGTGACACCACTGCTTTGCGAGTTGCATCACCTACTAGTACATTGGATGCAATTCAGTGTGCTGGTAGTCATCTTTAGAGCCCTTCATAGCTTGGGGCTTGGTTATTTTGGGGGCTGTTTCTCCCCACTTGTTTCTACCCGTTCCGTCTACCTGGCAGAAGGAATATACTTTAGAATCTGCTGGCTAGTGGGACTTAGGAGAAGAGTCTTTTTCTGTTTTATTTATTTATTGAACTTTTATGCTACCCATCACCCCAACAAAGTGACCCTGGGCAGCAGTCTTTCTTATGACACTTGGCCTTTGGAATATCATCCTTCCAGAAATTAAATTGGCAACGTTCATATTGGGCCCTCCATAAGACTTTGAAGACATGGCTGTTTCCTCAAATCTGGGCAAAATGGGCATGGGATGGAGCTGAATGTTTGATTGTGGATTTATTCTCCACCTTCTGCCCAGCTGCTATGGGTTTTAGGTTTTTTTATATCTGTTTTTTTGCTGTTTTTAATATTGTTAGCCACCCAAAGTCATGTACATGAGATAGGCAGCCATATAAATCTACTAAATAAATACATTTGTGTTAAACTGTATAGTTAATACTTCTCTAGCCTAGTTTGTTTTAAAACACTAGAGCTCCAAATTCACCCATTATTCATTTCCAAATTCACTTATTAACCACTATTAGCCAAGAGTATCAATGAGATAAAAATAGAAGTAGTTATTAGTGGAATATGTCACTGTATTTACACTTTTTTTCCATGAGCAAATTTGCTTAAGGCTGCTAATAGAGAAAGAGAAACTTGAAAATGTGCAGTGATTCTGAATGAGATCATGGGATACAGCAAGTGGCTTT